GCAACGTTGCGTTGGCTTGGAATCGTGATTCGTGACATTTTTTTTTATAGATCGGGTGACAAACGAGCACACAGTCCACCTGATGGTAAGTGGTTACTGTGACCCATAGACATCTACATCTATCCTCAATAAAGACTCAAGATGCTGATGCGTTGTCACCCGTGAGGACTAAGATGGAATGCCTCTTTGCCAGTAAAAAGGGTATCCAGTTCTCTACACTCACCATACGAAACACAGCAGCGTTAAGCTGCTATTTTACGCTGGTTTTCTGTGAGAGCGTGGTCCTTCCCCTTTTGAGCCGACCCATTCGTGCTACAACCATAATATAGCTGCAGCATGGCTCTACCATGTAAAAAAACATCTCGCACTCGCTGCCGTACAAAAACAAATGTTATGCCGTGTACGACAAGAACGAAACTGCAGCGGGGCTCACATTGAAACGTGTAGGTGAGCGAAGCGAAATTCGTGAAATAAGTTTATTTATTTCTTTTTCATATAGATACTTGTATTACTATTTCAAATTTTCAATGTGTCTTTTTTAATAAAGCAATTTCAAACCTCGTGCTGTTTATTATAAAACTTTAAACAGTAAATACGGGTTTTTGCCATATATTAAAAAATAACACTTGTGCCCAAAAAGGTAAGGATTAAATTCCATTAATAGCCTAGACCTTGTTAAGACGAAATATTAATATTGACGTTCTGTCCTTTAACTTTTGAACTTGAGTTTTCATATTAATTAGATCTCTGAGGAACAAGTGCAATAATAAATTTTGGGTGTAATATTATTTAAAAATTTTGCTTTATTTGCTAATTCCACGTTTATTTCGAAGCATAAAACACGCATAGTGATATTAGTGTTCATAGAAGAAGTCTAAAAACGAACAAAAAGCTTTGTAAATATTTATTTGATTTCGTGATTTTAAACATAGATATAGCTAGCTTTGTTTTAGGTTGTAATATAACAAAGAAACAATGTCGCGACGAAACACTGTGTTTTGTGGGAGTTTTTCTAAAAAACTGATAATTTAAATAAAAAAGCGGGTCGTAATATTTGTAAAAACTAATTTAGTTTTCAGAAGACTTCAGGTTATCTGAAGTTTAACAGTGGTAGAGCTAAGCGGTAGCTTTTGCTGTCGCACGGATGGGCCAGCTCGAACTGGGGTGGTACCACGACCTCATAGAATACCAGCGTGAAGTAGAGGTTTACCTCTGCGTTGCGCTTGGTGAGTGCAGGTGGCCGGAGGCCCAATCCCCCCCCCCCGCCATCAACATGGAATTAAATAAGAGACTACCCCAGGAGGGTACCAGCACCCCTGGAGAATCCCTCGCTGAGCATGCACGACCAAACTACTTCACTCCTGAGCGTGGGTGCTCAGGCTGCCCCACGTATTCTGGGGGGGGGGGGGGGGGGGGGGGCAAAATTCCTCTCGCGACTAATGCTGCTCGGGGCAAGCGGAGCAATGCAACCAAGGCGACCCCTGTCACGCTATCCGTGAATTTTTGCAACATCAGGGGACTTCATTCCAACCTTAACGCTGTCCATTACCATCTAGAGACGGCGAAGCCGGCCTTGCTCTTTTTAACCGAGACTCAGGTGTCCTCTCCGGCTGATACTTCATTTCTCTCCTACCCGGGGAACAAATTGGAACACTCCATTGTGCCCCGGGCTGGAGTTTGAGTATACGTCAGAGAGGACATCTGTTTTCGACGCCTCGGCAGTCTTGAAGGTACGGACCTGTCCATCCTATGGCTGCGCGTAGACAGCGAGGACCATCACCGCGTCTACGGGTGCCTCTATAGGTCCCATAGCGGTAATGCCGACACAGACCGACTCATCGACCACGTCCAAATGGTTGCAGACTCCGTGCTACAACAGGTCCCATCCGCAGAGATCGTGATACTCGGTGATTTTAACGCCCACCACGCTGAATGGCTTGGTTCCCGTTTAACCGATCATGCGGGTAGAACTGTCTATGACTTTGCTTTGGCATATGGTCTAACACAACTGGTTACTTCGCCTACGCGGATCCCAGATGTGGAAGACCATGTACCCTTCCTGTTGGACCTTCTGCTGACCTCTCATCCGGACGGATATCAGGTCTCCGTCGATGCCCCTCTGGGCTCTTCGGACCATTGTCTGATCCGGAGTACGCTGCCACTCACGCTCCAATCGCAGTCGCGATCTGCAGCTTGCCGCCGTGTTTGGCACTATAGGTCAGCTGATTGGGACGGGATGCGGTCTTTTTTTGCATCCTACCCTTGGGTAGGCGGGTTTGCTTCTCACCGGAAGATCCCAGCGTTGTTGCCGAATCTGTTGCTGATGTGGTACTTCAGGGTATGGAACTTTTTATTCCATCCTCTGTGGTGCTCATCGGAGGCAGATCCCAGCCATGGTTTGGTCGCTCCTGTAAAATAGCATCACGCTATAAGCAGGAGTGCTACCGGGCCTGGGCTGACGCATCAACGTCTCGAGATGTAAACACCAGCGCACTTAAAAAGAAGTATAATTCCGCCTCCAGGTCCTTCAAAAGCGTCATTGACAAGGCAAGGTCTGAGCATATCGGCAGAATTGGCGAGAAGCTAGTTCGCCTTCCTTCGGGAACACGTGCATTCTGGTCTCTCGCCAAAGCTGTTCAAGGGAACTTCTGTCAGCCATCTCTTCCATCTCTGCACAGGGAGGACGACTCACTGGCCCATTCCGCAAAGGAGAAAGCCGATCTCTTGAGCTCTCTTTTTGCGTTCAACTCGACTCTAGATGACGGGGGGAATACACCGCCGACCATCCCGCGATGTGAGTACTCCATGCCGGATGTGCGGTTTACACAGCGCTCGGTTCGCAAAGCACTCTTCTCCCTGGACGTCAGCAAGTCAAGTGGGCCCGATGGATTCCCTCTCATTGTGCTGAAGACGTGTGCTCCGGAGTTGGCACCGGTTTTAACGCGTCTTTTCCGGTACTCCTACTCCCAAGGCGTAGTCCCGAATTCATGGAAGGCAGCTTTGGTCCACCCGATCCCTAAAAAAGGCGACCGCTCAGACCCGTCCAACTACAGGCCTATTGCCATCACCTCCTTGTTCTCCAAAATAATGGAATCCATTATAAACTGCCAGCTCATGAGTTACCTTGAGGATCACCAGCTGATTAGTGACCGCCAGTACGGTTTTCGTCGAGGAAGATCAGCTGGTGATCTTCTAGTATATCTGACTCATAGATGGGCGGAGGCAGTAGAGTCCAAGGGGGAGGCATTGGCCGTTTGTTTGGACATAGCGAAGGCCTTCGATCGGGTCTGGCACAAAGCGCTTCTTTCGAAGTTTCCTTCCTATGGGCTTCCCGAGAAATTGTGCAAATGGATCACCAGTTTCCTTGCTGATCGGAGTGTCAAGGTCGTAGCAGATGGTGCATGCTCTGATTTCAAGCCTATTAACGCTGGTGTTCCACAAGACTGCGTACTATCACCAACGCTGTTTCTCCTGCATATCAATGATATGTTGCTAACTGGTAGCATTCATTCTTATGCGGACTGGAGATGCCTTATATACCGGCCGTGCCAATATTTCTCGGGAAAACGTCGCTGAATACCGGGACAAACTTATGTCTGAAGTCGAGTCTTTGCTTAACAAAGTCTCGGATTGGGGCCGACTAAATCTAGTCCAGTTCAATCCCCAGAAGACACAAGTTTGCGCGTTTACCGCTAAAAAGAACCGCTTTGTCGTATTTCCTCAGTTTCAAGGCACTCCCCTTGCTGCCTCAGCTAGTATCGGAATCCTTGGCGTCGACATATCGAGTAGTGTGCAGTTTCGTGGTCACTTGGAAGGGAAGGCCAAATTGGCCTCTAAAAAGCTTGGCGTGCTCAGCAGAGCGAGACATTATTTCATGCCGGCACATCACTTGCAACTTTACAAAGCGCAAGTTCGACCCCACATGGAATACTGTTCTCATCTCTGGGATCTCCGGACCGATACGACTTAGGAACCTTCAAGAAAAGAGCTTACACCTTTCTAAAAGGCCGGCATCATCATCATCATCATCATTACAGCCCTTCAAGGCCGGCAACGCATCTGCAATTCCCCTGGTGTTGCAGTTGTTCATGGGCGGCGGCAGTCATTTACCATCAGGTGAGCCACATGCTCGTTTGCCCCCTCTTCTATAAAAAAAAAGTTACATTTACGGCAGCAATTCTTTAACGCGGGTAAAGAACACATAGCTGATGTGAAGAATAGACGCTCCGGAAGTCTGCAGCCTGTGAACACGTAAGGATCGCCCCCGTCACTACATTAGATTTGATAGACCACAAATCCTCGCTAAAGAACACCGATTCCTTCCAAGGATGATTCGCGAGGCTATTGAAATCAAAAAACATCCTAATTTCAATAGAGAAGATGGCTGGGTGCTACCATCTGCTTGGGATCCCATAATTAATAAAATTAAGTGCCAACCCAAGCATACAACTGCAAGACTTCATGATACTGTAAGTTCATACTGCGTAGATCGGAACAAAAATTAATAATTTTTAATCTGCAGGTAGCCGTGGTTAGTCAGGCACACAGTCAGGGGGTTTCATGCTGGTCTACCTTTCCGGTGATCCTGTTATGGAATACGGGTACGCGACCCCGGCTCCCCGAGCTACTGTTATTCTCATACCTTTCCTGCCGAGATAACAGTATCCTTACACCTATGCTCCTACCCCCAAACTTCTTTTTCCTTTTCCCAAAATGGTAGCTTCCTCTACCAACAATAGCATACCCAAAGAGGGTTGGTGTCAGGCAGGCGGCCGACTGTAAAACTTTTGCCAAATCCCATGCAGTAAATGAATAGTACGAGTTGTGGGACATATGACAGGGCTAGGGCGTGCCCCGCAGGCGACGCGCAGGGGCAGCACCCGGCTCCTGTGGGAAGTGGGCAAGGGTTGTCGCACCTTACGGAGCGGGTGCGACATAAGAGGCGAGCCCGGAAAGAGAAGAATGTCAGAGTGAGGTTTGCAAGCTGGAATATAGGTACGATGACTGGAAGAGGAAGAGAGTTAGCAGATGTTTTGAAACGACGAAGAGTGAATGTTGCCTGTTTGCAGGAAACAAAATGGAAGGGCAATAAAGCAAGAAAGATTGGGGAGGGATACAAGTTTTATTATTGTGGAAGTGATGGGAAGCGAAATGGAGTAGGAGTTGTGTTAGATAGTGGAATGAAAGAACGAGTGACAGATGTGAAAAGAGTAAATGACAGAATGATAGTTGTTAAATTAATGATTGAAAACAAAGTAGTGAATGTTGTAAGTGTGTATGCTCCGCAAACAGGCTGTGAAGAGAGTGTGAAAGAGAAGTTTTGGGAGGAATTTGATTGTATGATGATGGGAATACCTGAGCGTGAGGATGTTTATATGGGAGGAGATTTTAATGGACATGTAGGGAGAGTGAATGACGGGTATGAAAGAGTACACGGTGGATGGGGGTACGGAGTGCGGAACCGTGAGGGGGAAGTTCTTCTGCAAGCAGCATGTGCTTTCGACCTGGCTGTAGTAAACACGTGGTTCCAAAAACGAGATCAGCATCTTGTTACTTATAAAAGTGGCCACCACGCGACACAGATCGACTATATTCTGATAAGACGGAACCAAATCAAGAGTGTAAAAAACTGCAAAGTGCTTCCAGGTGAAGACTTAGTATCCCAGCACCGAATTCTGCTGGCTGACATCTGCTTAACTGTTCGCCTCAACAAACATAAGGATCGTCCCCCACCCAAAATAAAGTGGCATTTGTTGCATAAGGAGGGGTATGCAAGTGAATTTAGAGAGCTAGTTGTAAACAAGATGATAGAGATGGGTGATATGGAAGGAATGAGTGTGAATGAGTGCTGGAAGGAAATGGCTGATTGTATCCGAAGTGTGGCAAGGAAGGTGTTAGGAGAAACAAAAGGGAAGCGTATGATAGATAAGGATGGGTGGTGGTGGAGTGAAAGTATTAGAGAAGTTTTGAGAGAAAAGAAAAATGCCTTTAAAGAATGGCAGAGCGTAGAAGACTAGAATGAATCCATAAAAGAAAGTAAGAGAGGGGCGTATAAAGAATGTAAGAAGAGAGCGAAGAAGGAAGTTGCTATTTGTAGGGCAGAGGCGCATGATAAATTATATCGGTCCCTTGAAAGCCCCGAAGGTCAAAAACGACTTTTTCAAATTGCAAGAGCGAGAGAAAGGAATAGAAGAGATGTTTCACATGTAAAATGTATAAAAGATGATTCTGGAAGGATTTTGACTGACGATGAAAGTATAAAGAAGCGATGGAAGGAGTATTTTGAGAAATTGATGAATGAGGAGAATGAATGGAATGGTATGCTTGAAAACCCACCAGTGAATATGGGCTTAGTGAGAGAAATTTGTGTAGAAGAAGTAAAAATGGCTGTTAGGAATATGAAGAATGGGAAGGCGGTCGGCCCAGATGGAATACCAGTAGAAGTGTGGAAGTTGCTGAGGGCGGATGGATGGAAGTGGTTGAGTTTATTTTTCGGTAAATTGTTGCAGGAAGAACAAATACCTGAGGAATGGTGCAGTAGTATACTGGTTCCCATTTTTAAAAACAAAGGAGACGTTCAAAACTGCAGCAGTTACCGGGAAATAAAGCTCATGTCACATACGATGAAAGTCTGGGAAAGAATAATAGAGAGAAGAATGAGAGAAGAGTGTGAGATAACACAAAACCAGTTCGGATTCATGCCCGGTCGAGGTACGACAGATGCCATTTTCGCATTACGCCAATTGTGCGAAAAGTACAAGCGCGTGCATAAAGATCTGCACATGGTTTTTGTCGACCTTGAAAAGGCGTACGATCGGGTTCCCCGTGAGGTCTTGTGGTGGGTGTTAAAGATGAAAGGTATGCCTGGGAAGTATGTGAGGTTGGTCCGTGCTATGTACAGAGCATCCCGTACATGTGTACGATCTGCCGCGGGAACTACGGGCAGTATCGGTGTAGCGGTAGGGCTGCACCAGGGGTCGGCACTGAGCCCTTACCTCTTCCTACTGATTATGGACGCTTTGACGTCGGACCTGCAGGATGAGGCACCCTGGTGCATGCTCTTTGCCGATGACATCGTGCTTGTCGGGGAAGAAGGCATCGAGGTACAGAGCAGACTGACAGGGTGGCAACGGAGGCTGGAAAGTGTTGGCTTGAAGATCAGCAGATCCAAAACCGAATATCTGTGCTGTGATTTCGGCGGTCTTTCCAGTCCTGTACCCATGTCGTTGGATGGCGCTATACTGCCTATCTGCTCAGATGTCAAGTACCTCGGTTCCCTCATTCAAGGCGACGGCGGAATAGATAGAGCTGTGCAGCATAGGATTAACGCAGGGTGGATGAAATGGCGACAGGTCACAGCCACAACGTGCGATCCCCGAATGCCAATAAGGCTGAAGGGGAAAATTTACAAATCGATCATCCGACCTGTCGTCATGTATGGAAGTGAATGCTGGGCCGTCAAGAAGAAGGATGAAAATAGACTGCATGCGAATGAAATGAGAATGTTACGATGGATGTGTGGTGTTACAAGGATGGATAAGATAAGGAATGAGTATATAAGAGGAAGCCTGAAAGTAGCGCCAGTGGTAGAAAAGGTGAGAGGAAGCAGATTGGCATGGTTTGGGCATGTGATGCGGAGGAATGAAAGTCATGTCACAAAACGAGTGTTGAATATGAATGTGGAGGGACACACGGGCAGAGGAAGGCCGAATAAAAGATGGATCGATTGTGTGAAGAGTGATATGAGAATGAAAGGAGTAAGTATAGAAATGACGGCTGATAGAGAGGAATGGAACAAAAAGATTTACTGCGCCGACCCCAGATAATGGGAAATGGTTTAGAGAATGATGAGGTAGTCGTGGTTAACTATGACATTGGGACGTCATACACCTCAGTCCCCCCCGTGACCATGGGTGCTGTAAAGTGCTTGAAACGTCGGGAAAGTAAAATAAGTTAATATACGCGATAAAATCCGTAAAATTAGTTTTATTTAAATGTGTAGTGTTCGCGTAAATATAAGAAATCATAACATATTTCTAGTTTTTATTTATTAGAGCAATCTTGTAATATACTTTATCTGTGCATTTCTGGGGCACAGATGGGCATTGTCTTTTAAATCATAAAATTAATAAATAAATATTTTTATTCAATCTACATAATGTTATTATTGTTAGTGGCTAGTGTATTGTTATTTAAAATGAAATTATAATAATATAACACATTTAAACTTGCTGATATATTTCAAAAGGAATACTAGAATATTAAAAAAGCTATCAGAGTTGACTGCTATATAATGCTTATATCGTTAAGTCCTATGTTAGTCATAAAAAAAAACAAAAGATGTTTTATTAAATTAAATAAAACGTGTCTTATTTCTACTTTAGGTATGTTTAAAAAATAAAAATTTTGTTTTTGTAATGCGACTAAATAATTGTAAAAATAAAATTTTGAATATTACATAATTTATAAATTAACTAAATTGTTTTTAAATAAAACAATAGATAATAACATTGAAATATGATTGGCTGTACGTAGATCGAACAATCCTTAATATAAAATTAATTTACAATAAATATCGCATAGATCATCGTAAAGTGGTGGCATAATAGAACCAATTACCTCATATCCTCTCGTGGGTGTCGTATAATGTGACCGAGGAAAATGATTTAAAACAAGAGCAGCAGCTTTTCCTCTGAAAATATTTCAAAATCATAAAATATTGCCAACTCACTTAACAAGCTTGACAACTATGGCAATTAACCGCCTTATGATGAGGTCTATGCGGAAGGCCTATCAATATAGTCTGTAATTGATCTACGGAAATTTTATATTAGTGGCCAAATTAAGTAACCATGATAAATAATATTTCTTTAGAAAATGAAAGTGACGAACGTACTTAAATTCCACCTGATGGTATGTGGCCTACTGCATTCCAACCTATTTCAAACGAAGAAGGCTACAGACACATCTCTACTAAGGACGCCGGTAGATCCCACCCATTAATGCTTCAAATATAATAAAGCTGCAGTATGGCTCTACTAGGTACAAAAGCAAAATTATTAATTAATTTGTACATTGCGGCTATCAAATCCATGTTGCTCACGTAATGATACATTTATGATGTGCTCTTAACACACGAACTACCACAAGTCAATTATAATATTTCTAACAATCTACGTTTTATTTATAGTTATAATTTAATATATCAATAGTTAGAAAATTATCAGGATTGCGTTGTCTTAACAAATGTCGAAAGTGCCAAAATTATCTAATGTGAAATATCTGCATGCACGAACATTTTTTTTAACAATCCCATCTAATAAAATGTAGGTGGGGAGTAATTGAGTGTAAGAAAACAATATTTGATAAAACAGAGCTAATGTATCTATATCTTATATATGCTGCATACGTTCAAGCAACTGCTGAATATGTTCATGTTAATATTCACGTTGTGATTTTTTTTTATTTTAGTACAGGTGTAGTGTGTAATGTGTCGGATGCAGGGTAGTCAAATTCAAAAAAAATTTTATGAGTTTTCTCTTATTTCTTGTCCATTTTGATAAAATATTAATACATAATAGTAACCAGCTTCGTGGATTCTAAATTGGCTTGGCTTCATTAAGGATGTGCCAACTGTGGTGCCTAGCTAGCATGTCGTAAAAAACAACTAATATTGGGTTTGCAATTATGTTGGCGATGGGCTGGCCGAATACCTATCACTTCTTTAATAATTTTCCATCTAGACACATTTGAAAATATAACTGCGACTTTTTTTTAAATGTTATTTACACATATTTATTTTTGTAATATCAAGATATAATCTAAAGTATAAAAAAAGTCAATGTGAGAAAGTCACACAACTTTTACTACTACTCCTAATGTACGTAAATAAGATTTATACAGTTTTCTAAGATAACTGAGTTATTCTAGTCATCATTCCCTATTTAATTAGCTTGGAGTTTAGCCACGTGCAAAGCTTTGAATGATCTTCTATTAGAGTAAAAAAAAACTGCAAAATTGCAGCTTTAAAGTAATAAAGTGGATAATAATGATTTCTCATACTTAAACGGATATAACACATTTTATAATAGAATAGAATAGAATAATTTTTTATTCAATATAGATCACATATCACATGTCTACTTGCTAGTTTGGACATATGGGGGCCCCACTGAAGCTTTGCGTCGAGAGTGATGCCAAGAAAAAGGTGGATTCAATAGGGCTCAGTTCTTTCCCAATTAAAAACACATCGGTATTCAGATTTTTAAGATATATTGTTGTAAATTTAATACATTTAGTTTTATTTCCGTTTAAATGTTGATGATTAACGTTAAACTAATGCACTCATTTTAATATAGCATTATTCACTTCATCACATTTAAATGATTGACGTTTAAGTTTAAAAATCAATAATTGAGAGTCAGTGACTATGACTGCTGTGAAGCGCTTGAAACTTCATAAATTAAGAGATAAAGTAAACGTCATAATATCTATTAAATTAGTTTTATTCGGAATGAATTATGTTGATAAATATGGAGACATATAAATGACGCTCTTTCTCTATTATTAAAAAATGATCATGTTATAATAAACTTAAAATATATGTTTTGGTATGGCTTTTAATACGTATGATATTATTGTTTCAAATTATTCTGTATGCATCGTACAGTTGCAATACGAGTTCAGATTGTAGAAACAAAAGAACGAGATCATGATTTCAGCGAAGCAGAACGGAGCAAAATTAAAAATAGTATGAAAGAAATAATCTGGATCAGCTGTCCTTTGAATGATAACTTTTATAATAAATATTCTACTCTAGATGAATTAATACTTACCATATTCAGTTTATGTGTTTTAATGTTAAAAAATATAAACGTTTGTAGGGGGAGGTTTGTGAGTTGTATCCCTCTACAGATAATTAATGTTTAGTATGTCGATGTGGGTTATATCTACGTTACGAGATGTGGTAATTAAAACTATGTCCGATTATGTAGATAGTGTTTATTGCACTAATAAT